TGAAGGCACACAACAACAACAACAAAACAATAATGTATGCACATATGCAAAAAAATGATAGACAAGGGAAAGCACTCTGTAGATCTGGGGTGGGCAGCTGTGCCCCCTCCAGATGCTTTTTGGACTGCATTCCCTATAATTTGTCACTCTTGGCAATGCTGGCTAGTGCAAATGGAAGCTGTAGTCCAGAGTTGCTCACCCCTGTTGTGGATGCTGCAAATCCCTCAGTTTCTTGGCTGATGGCTAGAAGCCAGAAGGTATCTCTTATCAGCTTTGCTGTCCCAGGGCAAGTGGCCAGAAGGTGTGGCCAGGAAGCTGAGAGAGGAGTGGGAGCTATCTTGCTGCAGCTGCATCTCCTTCAGCTGCTAATAGAATAATTGTTAATGGAATCAGGGCTAACAAAGTATGAGCTCAGTCCCTTTGCAAGAAGAAATTTCGCAAGAGTAATCAATGTGCTTCAATTCCAGACACAAAAAGTGATGCATCTACAGTCGGCCCTCTGTATCCAGAGATTTTTTAATCCATGGATTCAACCAGCCATGGCTAGAAAGTGTTCAAAAATAATACAGATTCTAAAAATATGGGGACACCGTTTCAACATGCGATTGTATTGAATCCAACTTGAGCATCCATGCATTTTGGTATCTAAGATGTCTAAATTGAAGCTGTCGTACTTTGAACATACCATGAGAAGATAGGACTTCTTACAAAAGACGACAATGTTTCCAAAAGCAAATTTGGTTTTTGCCATTTTATATTTATATAAGGTGCACCGTTTCACTATGCTATTGTATTGAATTGAACTTGAGCACCCATGGATTTTGGTATCCAAGATGTCTAAATTGAAGCTGTCATGCTTTGGATGTATAATGAGAAGATAGGACTTTGTATAGAATACAGTAATGTTTCCGAAAGCAAACCTTGATTTTGCCATTTTATATAAGGGACACTTTTTTACTACAGTATTGTATATAATGGGACTTTAGCATCCACAGATTATGGTATCTATGGGGGGTCCTAGAACCAAATCCCAGCGGAAACCAAGGACCCACTGTATTCTGTTTAAAAAGATAAATATTTTTGCTCCTAGCTTAATTAACAACTTGAATTAGAGCCCTAGCTATTCAGACATGAACCTTAATTGTGGAATCCGCATTCACAGCTCATAGTTTGGGTGTATCTGCACTATGCATTTATATTATCTTTGTCCGCTTTTGTCTGTCATGGATCCCATCCTATGGAATCCCAGGATTTGTAATTTTGCTGAGGGATTTGGGATTCTCTGCTGCTCTAGAGCTCTTAGTTTTGTGTGCCTTCAGGTTGTTTCCAACTTATGGCAACCCTATCATGGGGTTTTCTTGGCAAGATTTGTTCAGGGGAGGTTTGCCCTTGCTTTCCTCTGAGGCTGAGAGAGTGTGACTTCTCAGTAGGTTTCCATGGCCTAGTCAAAGCCTGGTCTCCAGAATTGCAGTCCAGGGCTCAAACTGCTACACCACACTGGTTTTTGTCTAGTTGTTGGTACTACAGATGTTTATGTATCTTTGTTGTCCTTGTTGTGTGCCTTTAAGTCATTTCCAACTTATGGCAACCTTATCATGGGATTTTCTTGGCAAATTTTGTCCGAGGAGGGTTGCCATTGCCATCCTCTGAGACTGAAAGAGTTTGACTTTCCCAGGGTCACCCAGTGGGTTTTCTCGAATCCCATTGAAGGCAGGATTTGAACCCTGGATTCCAGAGTCATAGCCCAATGCGCAAACTGCTACACTACTCTACGCTACGCTGTCTCTTGTTGGTACTACAGATGTTGATGTATCTCAGTTCATGACTCAAAGCAGTGTTTTCTGGGGCTGAGAGTGTGCCTTGCCCAGGGTCTCCTCATGGGTTTCCATGGCCAAGCGGGGAATCGAACCCTGGTCTCTAGAGTCATAGTCCAGCGCTCAAACCACTACACAACACTGTCTCCCTGTAGCTAGCCAACAATTAACAATGTTTTGAATTTCAACCCTTAGCATCCCTGAGCATTAGCCAACCTGGCTGGTTGTTCTGGGTGTTGATGTGCAAAACACCTGTAGGACCAGTATTCGAGAGCTACCGCTGGTAGTGCACCCCTGCCCCCCCCCCCTTGAACAAAGCATTAGAACTCCCTGGCAGAGAGTTCAGTCAATCATTTTATTGCGGTCAATGACTATATTAAATGACCACATTCCCAAATTTGTAGAATAATAGAATCATAGAGTTGGAAGAGACCACAAGGGCCATTGGAAGAGACCACAAGGGCCATCCAGTCCAACCCCATTCTGCCATGCAGGAACTCAAAATTTCATATGAATACATAAAATATATACATACTGTGAACTTTAGTAAGATACATACACCTGTGGACATCAGTAAAATGTGAATATAAATGTAAATATAAGTCATAAATAATATAAAATATAGAGATAAATATGACTGCATACACCAACAGTAGAAACCTAATCATTTACTAACACCTTATTTTCACAGATCTTAACTGCAGCAATACAAAATTTTGCCATCGTGGTCAACTTCTCTGTATACTGCCTTGACATCAACAAAAGAGTATAAAAAGCCTCTGAACGACCAGGGAATGCCTTTATATATGGTTCAATAAGAGCTTCCCAAATTCCAAGATAAAAGGGACAGTGCAGAAGAACATGAGTTATTGTTTCGATTTCACCAGAGTTGCAGAGACATTTACGTTGATAGTATGGAGTCTTTTTAAATTTCCCTTCTTGTATTGCTGATGTCAAAGCATTGAATCAAGCAAGAATAAAGGCTTTGCGTTGATTTGGTATTGAAACCAAATAGAGATAGGTAGCTGGTTTAAAGGGTATCAGTGCTGTGTCAATTAGTAATAATAATAATAATAATAATAATAATAATAATAATAATAATAAATTTTATTTGTAACCCGCCCCTCTGCTCGGCAATCGGGGCGGCGTACAGCAGAATTAAAAATACAACAAGTAAAACAATTTCTACCTCCCACCTCTTACCCACCCACCCCTTAAAACTGAATTAAACGATCATAAAATTAAAACAGCCGAGATAAAATACAGTACAGAAGAACACCTTCACAATATCACAATATTAACATTACAATATGTCAACATACCAATATCAATATTCAATATATCAATTTTTCAATATTTCAAGCCGGGTGGTTATTCCGGCTTGAAATATTGAAATATTTAAATTAATAGGTTGTTTGAGATTACCCTTAAATCATGCTGCCTCTCCACATCCATAATTTGTTGTCTGGCAGAGAGTTGCACCAAACTATAAATCCCAGGATTCTGTAGGATAGAGCCATGGCAGTTCGAGGTGGAATAAGAGTATGATACGTATAGAATGTCCTTAATGGGGAATCCTTATGGTGTAGCCACCTTATTCATAATTGCCCCATCTTTCCCAGTGCTGCTTCCACCAGCAGCCCTTTACACATGAAAGTCTCAACATTTTTGAGAACGGAAGAAGAAGAGCAATGAGGTCTCGGCAGGTGTAGTTGCCCCCCAGCGCTCCTTTTCTGACTTTTTAAAGATCTGCGGTGTTGACATGGCCAGTGAACCTGCCAAAGCTCAGCACACATGCAGCATAACCTTGATAAGCGGTGGCATTTTTATCACTCTTTGAAAAATGGATCTTCAAGCACAGCTCAAATTATTTCCTGGCTACATTCAAAACAAATTTGAGAGAGACTGGAGTGAGGTTGGAGGAGATACGCTCCCCTTTTGGGTCCGGACTCACCCAGAAATTGGAGAGGTTTTCGGTTTTGGACTACAGTA